TATACTTACATTTTCAATAGATGATTTGTATTTAAATATAAAATTTTCAGTAATACTTTTATTCATCAATAGCTGTTGTATACCGTCAAGCACCGTTCTGTGTTCAAATACATATTCTATTCCTTTGTATTCAAAAATCTTTTCTTTTCGCCAACCGAAATTTGGAAGATTTAGGTTTTCTATAAATACTCGTCCGGCCTGTGATGTTGACGGTAATGGATGATCGTTACGACTTGAGTATTTGTTGAAGAATTTTATAAAAGCGTTGGCAAGCAGATCTTGTATATAGAACTGCGTTAACATGTGCATAAATTTTGCATATTCTTCTGATGGAAATTCTTGATACACATCTTCGGGATCACTAGGTATTCTGGTAAGTAGAGCATTGTATTCAGCACAATCATCAGCATTAACTTCTGTCATGTCTGACAGATCGGATGCTGCATATTCTTCGTTGGCTTCGTCAGATGAGTCACTGCTTTGAAATTCACTTGTATAGCTAGAGAATAGAATATCGATGTCTTGTCCTTCAATAGATTCATCTATATCAGAAGCTCCTTTTATATCAAATGCAACATTCTCCTGATCGATGTTTGAATTTTGCTCAAAACGTGCTCTCTTACAAGTTGTTTCCATTCTTTCAGGTATGATTTGTCTTTCAAATATGTTTTTTTCATTTAGAATTCGGGTTGTTTCAATTGAAAAAATTCTGCAAATTGATTGATTCGATAAAGGTAAATCATCATCACTATCGTCTAAATGTGTTTTTATGTGATTACCCAATGCCTGTCGATCCTTGAAAACCTTACTACAAGAGGAACACCTTGGCATCTCGGAGAATAAGCAGCTCACTACGAAATGTATATAGTTTACCAGGTTCGTGACTAGTGATGTACGGATAAAGTAAAAGACAATAATTAAAGATGGCGCCTCAATTAGTTGTAACAGGTGACAAATAAGCATCACAATGTTATAACGAATTGCAACATTATTAAAATTTAAGTTGCAACAGGTGACAAATAAGTGTCACAATGTTGCAACGCCATCTTTAACAATAATATTAATAAAGTATCTTGACTTTCTTGTATATATATATAAACGGTTATATTTGCCTTTAATATCGAATTCAAGTTTGCAATGTTCAGAATCAGATTTAGTTTCAGGTTTCACAATCACACTAGAACACTAAAAAATATAATTATAACAAAAAATATATAATAAAAATGCTAATTTTTTTATCAATCGAATAAACTAAATAAAATTTCATCACCTTTGAATTAAATATTTGAGGTTGAGAAATATCAATTTTGACGAAGAATTTTCTACTGAAATGTAATAAATGTTTCTCGTAAACTTATAAAAGAGAGCATCTAAAGGAATAAGACGAGATGATCTTCGATTCAAGTCTTTTTTATATGGAGACGACGATCATTAAATTAAGCGCAGGTGATTGTTACACATATTAAAGTTTGAGTTATTAACAAAATTAGAAATTGTTTTAACATCATAACACAAAATAATTTTCTCTTACTGTACGTTTAGAATGCGAAAACAAAATGTGAAAACAAGGAATTCTGAACTTAATAGGCGAAGTGTATTTCAATAAAATTTATTTCAAACAACTTTTCCAATGTTGTGTATATTACAGTTAAATTAACAATGTTATTATTTTTCAACAATTTAACCTTTATAATTTTTTGAGTTACTTCCTACACTTTATATGAGTTTATTATTAAACTACATCATCATCAATTAAATCAACTTTTTATTTTGCCACGTGTGATTTCACCTATTATTATAAAAGATAAATTAGATTAAACTTTTCATTGTCTTTTTCGTCAAACTCTTTTTCTTTTCTTTTTTAATTATTCGTTCTGTTCAACCTTTTCATTTCTTATTATATAATAAAAATCAAATAAACATATTCAAAGAAATACTTATAAATTGACTTGTTTTAGATATGGGTCGCGCTAAAAAATGAGTATCATCTGCCTTAACACGCAAAAGTGCTCAGCATGTTTTACCTCATATTGAACTTTCAGAAGAACAAAAAAATGTTTCAAATGTATCGAGTACTCTGAAGACCATGAACAACCCAAATATTTTAAGAGTCACAAGAAGTTCTACTATCAATATAGGTTTAGATAAGCGGGTTGCCAAAAGTGTGGGTATAGAAAGCCGTTTAGATATGTTTGATGATAGTGATACTTTACCTGATCTAGAAGGCCATCTTTCGAATGATAATGAGATTCTTGTCGATGATTTTATCTCAGAAAACAAGATGGTGATTTCTAATTGTAAACGAAAAGTTAATGATATCAATGATATGGAAAACGAAGACATGGATATGCAAAAGAGGATTCATAAGTTAATTTCATTGATCATTTATTGCTTTTAATTACAATCGTTTTATATAAATTAATAATATTTCTTTTAGGATTTACTTTAACAATTAGTAGTATGTATGATGTGCAGACTCAAATGATTGTGATGATTCAAAATATACAGAAAAAGGTCAACGAAATGTATACAGATTAGAAAGTCATTGGATTTGGTAATCATACGGAAAATGACACTAAATGGATTGATGTGGGTTGTGTTGAATTATCCTTTACTTATTTCCTATAATTGTACTAAGTCATGTATAATCTTTCATAATAGGATGCAATTGGTCAAGCGATTTATACTGCAATTGAAAAAGTTAAATATCCAAATGATAAATGTATTATGCAAGTATGTTATGATGCGTTATTAGATGCAAGAGAAGAAGAATTTCAAAATAAGATAAAACATGATGGATGGAAACGTTTCTTCAATAAACATGTTCGTTCGTTGGTAAGTAAATATTAATGGTTGTTTGTAATAAATTATTTAATCTCACTCACTTTTTTAACAGGCTCAAAGATTTTCACGTTAAGCATGTAACAATATCGTATAACGCGTAAAGGATGCTATTCATACCGAATTTCCAAATCTTGTAAAGCCAAAAACGGAAAATTAGCAAGTTACACGTGATGAAAAATGGAAGTTCAAAGACGCCAGCATCACTCGCGAATATTATACGAAACTAAACAAACTCGTTGATCCTGATGATAATTCACATTATACTTACCTTAACCTGATAATCAACTGTATTTTTACAAATCCAAATACAGAGAAAAACTCCATTGCATTTGGAATGGCTGTTATTCTAAATTATCTAGATCCATCGAAAGGAATCAATATGGTCCTAAGTGAAATTATAGAACGAATGAATCACTTTCTCAAAAAGATGCAGGTTTCAGATTGTGAGGAGTTGTGAGAAAATTGTAAGTATTATTTTTTATCTTTCATAACATGTTTATTAATCATTATATTTAGTGTTTTTTATAATAAAACAGAAAATATCATATTTAATCGAACAGATAACGTTATCAAAGTTTTTCAAAACGGGTCTAAAATAAAATAGGCGAAATGGCTTCTCTTTTGTAATATATTAATAGTCATAGTATACTTGAATTACGATTATTTAATTTGCACAATTTGCTACAAATATTTACAATACATAAATACACAACAAGCATTTCATACAAGTATTAAAATTATATTATATTCCAATACTAAGACAATATATAATGTTAGCTAATTGCAATAGAATGTCAATGCTTATTAAATATAAGGTCCATTGAGATATAGTTAATAGCATTTAAAATAAACGTTTTTAAAGTAATTAGTAAATGCTTGATAAATGATTTATAATACTGTTAAGAAGTTCTTAACAGTATTACAAATCATTTATTTATTTTACAAATTACTTGTTTTATCATACTTATTTTAAATATACTGCAAATTGAAGGATTTTTTTCATTAAAATTATATAATTTGAACTCATCAAGTCAGCATTACACATTTTTATCTTTATTTTCATCTTATACATACCTTTAACAAAAAAAATTAAAATAGCAAAAAAATGACTGCAGGGACGTGTTCAAAATGTTAAAACTGAGCAACTTGAAAAGATTTTAAATGCTTCTGATTCTGAATCAAATCTTGTTTTTTCTGAACACTCAGATTTTGTTTTTTCTGAACATTCAGATTTTATTTTTTCTGAAAATAAAACTTTTTCAAGTGATTCAGATGATAATTTTGTAGATAATTTACAACAAACAATAAATAATCTTAGAAAACTTGAGTTAGTTTGGTTAAAAAAACAAAAAAAAAGATCTGGAGGTAAACTTGTAATATCAAAGGCTACAAAATATCGTAAATATGGTCCTTCAAGTATATATACGAAAGCTGCACAAGGTTCTAAATCAATTACACAATATTTTTTAACAACAGAAAATAAAGAAAGTACAGATAGTGAAAATAAAGATAAATCAGAAACTTCAGATATAGATTCTGATGTGAATGCTATTATTTTAAATGCAAATCCTGGTGAAGATATTAATAATATAGATAGAAATACAAATATTGATGATTTGAATATAGATTTTAATTCGAATTCTGATGAAGATAATGATAACAATCTTGATATTGAAAATAATATTGAAAAGCTCAAAAAGCTTGAACGTATTCTAGGTAATAAAAAAAACAGTCTGCTTATGATTATCTACAGTATTAGACAATACATAAATATTTTGTTTATTTGGATATTCATAAGTTAGGTAAAATACAAGTAAGTGAATATGCTGCAGAAGAAGTTTATAATAAAAGTTTTTATTAAGCAAGAAATATTCGAAAATGGGCTAAGTTTTAGTTTGAAAATGGAACGTTATATAAAAATATACAAGGTTGTCATTAAAAATAAAGTCATTTATTGATGATGAAGATGTTATTAATAGTAGTCTTATTTTTATTTGACAAAATGGTGGAAAAACTACTCCAAAGGATTATCAAAATTTTATTAATTTAGTATTTTTTTCACAAATAGAAGTTGTAATGAATAAGAAAATTACAATAAAAACATTTCAAATTTGGCTTAAAAAAATTGGTTTAGTATCACAGTCTAAGAAAAAAGGAATATATTTTGATGGTCATGAAAGAGAAGATGTATTAAAATATTATACAATATTTTTAAAGAAATGAAAGAACTTGAACAATTTATATCAATATTTATTGGAGATGAGATGTTACAAATTAATCCAGAAATTTCTGATAATCAAAAATTATATATATTTATCACACATAATGAATGTTTATTTTATGCAAATGATGATCATCCAATTGTATGGACACTCATTAGAGAACTTTCACTTCGAAAAAAAGGTTTAGGAAAAATAACAATAGTTAGTGAGTTTTTGTTTAAAACTATTAGTCAATTAAAATTAACTCCTGAATAATCATTATTAAATCCAAATATTCCTGTTAAAACATGCAAATATTTAAAACCTAGAAAAAATGAAGAAGGCTGGTAGACAGCAGATTATTTAATTGATCAGGTTATTAATTACACTATTCCTATTTTTAAAACTATTTATCCAGATACAATTGCTGTAATGGTATTTAATAATAGTACTAATCATTATACAATGCCAGAAGATGGTTTAAATGCTACTAAAATAAATGTTAATCCTGAAGAAAAGCAACTATTAATGCATTCAACTTACTTTGGGTTAGATAATACAGCACAATCAATAGTTTTTCCATTTGATCATCCAAAATATTCAAATAAAGCTAAAGGTATGTGACAAATTCTTATAAAAAGAGGTTTATGGAGAGATAATTTGATCAGAGATTGTAAATTATGTAAAAGAAAGGAAAAAATAACAGATTCTCAAAGATTAGACTGTTGTATGCATCAAATTTTATTATTACAACCTAATTTCATTGCACAAAAATTTAGATTACAAATAGAAATAGAAAAAAGAGAACATAAATGTATCTTCTATTTAAAATATTATTGTGAGTTAAATTATATAGAAATGTATTGGAATGCAGCTAAAAGATATACTAGAGAACATTGTGAATATACTTGGGCAGATTTACAAGAAGTTGTTCCCAAAGCATTAGATTCAGTTCCTTTGATTACAATTTGTTGTTATGCACAAAAATCTTGGCGTTATATGGATATATATAGAAAGGGAATTACAGGTAAAATAGCAGAATTTGCAGTAAAAAAATATAAATCACATAGGAGAATTTCTGATAGCATTTATAATGAGCTTGATTTAAATATTAATAAATAAATTTTAATTTGTATTAAAATTAAACTGTTATTTTTATTAAATATAAAGTTATGTGACTTGTCGAATTCTAGATTATAATTAGCTTTTGGTATTTTACGTGATAAATTATATAAGCAAATAAATTTGAGACTTTTTTTTATTTTATGAATTGATTTCTTTTTGCAAGTAGATCTTAATTTTTTTTATTAAATCAAAATCTAATCATAGAATCTAATTTTATTTAAAATTTTTAATTTTTCATTATAGAGGTTTTGCACTATAGGCTATTTAATGTGAGTCTCAGCACCAAGTTATTTTTTTGCTTTCTTACATTTTTGGAAAAAATCTACAGATAATTTATTTTTATCATTATTGCTAACTACGAAATTCCCACCTATAATCTTTCTCTATACTAGAATTTTGAAATAAATTAATCTATATCATTCCCACCCATACAGACTATGTAAGATTATTTTTCGCAAAAGAATTTCCTCAAGATGAAATGATTTTGAATCTATAGAAAGAATTCTTAAGATTAGCAATGAGTTAAAAAAATAAAATAAGAATAGGGCTTACAATTCACACTTATCGTTATAATTCATTTTTATAATATTTCACATCATCTCATAATTAATAAATTTTGTTACTTAAATGCATTGTAATAAAGATATTTTGATTTTTTTATCGTCAGTTCGATACTGCATCAAATATCAATAATTCAGAAAAATTTTATTCGATATATTGCGCACTGTATCAGGTGATAAAAAATATATATATATATCTGATTAGTCACGTGACAATGATCATGGTAAATATCAAATATGCAGAAAGAATTAAGAAAGGTAATATGTTCACTTTATCTTTGAACATCTATAAAATCAGAAAAAAATGATTAGCATTGTGATGACGATTTTCTAGAATCAAGCCAAGAAATCAAAGAAACTGACTTTATTATTACTTTACAGAATATACTTGTTTGATTGATTATTGATATTATTGAGGTTAATAGTGGTAAGTTTGAATATTTATTTTGATACTTTTTTGCTTTACTTGCACAAGATGGATAAAAGGATTCACTAAATAAAGCTTCACCTTTTTATAAGATTTGTAGTGCATTTAAGGATTGATTTTTGAAATAAATCTTTGGGAAAATTACATTACATGATGGCGGATTATAAACGTAACCCTAAATATTATCCTGTGTGGTAGTAGTAGGTCAGTCAATTAACAACCAATAAAAATGTATTAATCAGCAAATGTGCGTGTCAGTCGCATCAGTTGACTTTACGAATAATAAACAATGATTGTTAAAATTACTATAATTATGCCGAACCATTTGTAACACATACTATTAATTAATAAAATAATAATTAAATAATGCCACCAGCAGAAATTCATTCGTATCCCAATAAGCCTCAAATAACATATAAAGACATAGGTCGAACATTTCACTATACAATTACGAAAGAAGGTTTTTACCCTAATAAAACCCTTTTAAAGTTTTCAAGAAAATCTAACAGTTTTCCTCTACCTGATAATTATGAAGTAATAACAACCTGAGGAAGAGAGAAGAACGCTAATATCGTTAAATGTTCCATAAATTACGAAAATTTCAAACCAGATTTAGGGTATATTATGATGTTAACTTTGCCTATGTACTGGAATCCACACAATCATGTACAAACGTAGCAACACAATTACAAAAAACGAGTCTTTTTATAATTTTTATTTATAAAGTTTATAATAAAGTTTAAGTATTAATATTAATGTTCTCATTTAATTATATTTAAATTTAATAGAAGCTTAACCCTAATACCGGATCTTTGTTATCAGATACATAATTATTTAGTGTGCAACTCCAAGTCTTAAGAACTGAACGTGAAACAAGGACCAGAAAATTAAAAGCTTATGATACAATAACAGCAAAGACAAAAAATGAAAGAGCACGAAACCTTGCTAAACGTATTAGATTAACTTTAACGATCTTAGTAATAGCTTTTACAATTCTGAGAATAAACTAGTTTTGAAGTCAGTGATATTTGGTGTTCAACATAAAGATCTTTTTCAAGTTGATTATGGTGAAATAGATGAAGATGAGGTTAAACTAAAACGCACTTTTACAGTTAAGGCTATTGATCAAGGACAAATACCCAGAGATAGTTATCGAGTAATTACATCTTTATCTAATGATCTTGTTAAAGAATGAGCAATGATAAAGGAAAAATTGGCTATTAATAATGAAATACAAGAAAAGATTCCAATTTCCATTATCAGATTAGATAACCACTCCTTTAAAACTTTGGAAAATGTGCCAACTATAACTGATCTGAAAGTAATTCAAATGATTTATGAATCAATTGGAAATGGTGGACAAAGAAGTGTTATAAAGATAATTGAATATTTGATTCCCTCTTTAATGGAGCATGGTATTTTAGATCCTAACAATCCAACCATTCATCTTCGCATTTCAGGTGATAGGAGAAATGTTGGACGACAAGTAAAGTATGTTATAATCACCTGCACAATTATGAATGATATTAATTGTTTACATAAACCAAATTCTCATCATACAATATTACTTTATCCTGGAAATGAAAATTATAATACTTTACAAACAGCATTAAATTTATTACTCAGAGAACTTCAACATTTAAAAGAAATCAGACTCCAAGATCAAACTGGAATTACATGGAATGTTGAATTATATTTCAGTTCTGATTAGAAGTTTTTGACGCTTTGTTTAGGACTAAATTGTGTAAATTCTACTTACTTTTGTCCTTGATGCATGGTAACAAAACGTGATCAGGGTGATCTTTCAAAAGATTGAAATATATCTAAAGATATGAATAGTTTAAACGAGAATTTTACTTGTTATCCTAATCATATATATCAACCTTTATTTAATATGATTCCTATTAAGAACTGGGTGGTTGATAAACTACACGTAATGCTTCAAATTTCTGATCGTCTATGGGTACTGATAATTCAAGAATTTAAAGAAACAAAGAAATGGAATGATTATACACAAAAGCTGATCATTGAAAAGATGAGATATATTAAAGTTAACTTTCATTTTTATGAAGATCATGAAACAAAGATCTGGCATCATACATCTTTAATGGGATCTGAAAAACTTAAGGTACTTCAAGATTTTGATTTTAGAAAATTTTTTCGATCTTCACGAGCTCAGCAAATTTGAAATTTATGGGACTCTTTTTTGGAATTATATAAATTAATTCAAGATTTTCAGGCTGATCCAATTGAATTCAAACAAAAAGCATTTGCTTGGCTCCAACTTTTTTTAACACTTTCCTCTGGTATACCTAATACTTCAAATTTTATCTGTGGGTTATATATGCCTAAAGATGTCACGCCTTATATTCATGTATTAGTGTATCATATTCACAAAATGATGTCAATACATAGAACTTTTGGATTGAAATCATTTTCATGCTCAGCTATTGAACGTAAAAATCATGATCATATGTTATTATTTTTTAGATATACTATGAAAGATGGTGGCAAAGAAGCTAATTGAAAATCAGCCATATGGAATATTTTAGAATTTGAAAATCGATTATTATATTATTTTACATATATTTTAGAAAATACTTTAGAAAAACCTAAAAAACTTCGAATAAAATAGTTAGATCTTTATTATATAGTACATGTTTTGAAACACAAAATTACATGATCTCTTGGCATTAAGTTTGAACCAATTCAACAATGATAGTACTGAACATTCCATTCCAAATGAGCCTATATTGAAAACTCAAATGAAAATGTTGATATTAGTGATAAATGTAACGGTAAAAGTGGTGGGGAAGAGTGATGATGAATATGGTAAATATAGTAAATGGTGATGGTGATTGTGATAAGTGGATAAATAGATGAAATGGAATAAAATAAATATTAAATTAGTTGACAAAGTAATAAAAGAAATATAGTAAAAATCCAAATTCTTTAATTTAAAAATAAAGTTCATTTACTTTCCTTCTCTCACTGAATTTATCCTAATTAGCATTCATTTTTAAAGAAAATAGTAGTGTCCGTTCCCTGGCAATTTGAGAGTACAGCATTTTAGACATCTTCAAGATCACTCTAATTAGCATTCATTTCTAAAAAAAAAAGAGAGAAAAATGTTAATAATGCTTTCATTTTTTAAAGAAAAATTGAGTTCTAGCAATCATTTCTAATAAAAAAATAGCGCATCTGTTTCTAACTAATAAAGGCCTATTATTCTAGACTTTTATGTAATAATGCTATAGTAACCTATCAATAGATTTATGCAAACAGCGCGAAAAAACAATTCTCAATAATTAAAGCCCTAAAAAAATTTGATACACAAATCATCCCATAAAATCTATCTAAAATAATCTCAGCATTTGATACTTTTGTTACTTGTATTTTTATTAATTTATTTTCAAAAATAATTTTCTATTACACATTTTTAAAAAACCTTAATATTACATGTAAAAAAAACCTAAAAACTCTAAGCTTATTAGTAAATAGATAATAAATTTTAATAAAATAAACAAATGTATAAAAGTACTACATTTTATTTTGCTATATACACATTATATAATCCATGCACGATTAATAGTAAAGCTCAAACTAATAAATCCCGATGAATAGGAATTATTTTGAGCATCGCTTCTTTGCTTCACCTTCCAAAGAATAACAACTTGGACAAGCTTTTTTTTTCTTTTTGAGATTTACTATCTTGTATATTAAAAGGATTAGAATCTTCTAAAGGAAAGGAATCATCTATTTGCTGAAATTTATATGTTAATACAAATGCTCTTTGATCGTGATCAAAAAACTTTGTTCCCCAAAATTTATCATCGGATAATTGAGCCAGACTATCGTATGCTGCCTTTCCACGAAATATATATTTATAGATTTGCCTTTTTAAATTAAAATGATGAATATGCCCCCAAAGACTGTGAAAAATTAGCTTTTACTGTACGGAAATATGATGTTTTATTTGCCAGTAAAGCGAAAATGTAATTTAAGTTGTTCCTTGATCATAAATACAATTGTTTTCTTAAATTCGCTTGTAGCATTAACAGATAATGTATAGCAGTCACTGGGTATAGTATTATATGCTGCAACAACTTGCTGATGTCAATTATATGCTATTTTTCTCTTGTACTGCTTATTACATCCAAGACATTGATAAACTGTTGAAGCCATTGGTAAAGTGAAAGTATTATTGTTCGTTATGGCTATAAAATCTGCCTTAGGCTATTTTGGGAGTTTGAGTATAACCATTATTAATGAGGATAGAGTAAACAGAAAAGTTGACAAATACGTATCAGTCTTGTTATGCATAATACAATACCTTTTACTGTATCAATATTTACAAAATTCAACGTAAAAAGGGTAAAAAGGGTTGAGTATGTGTAAAAAGGGCTAATGACCATAGGGACAATAAGTTTGACTTAAGAGTAATGGGTTTGACCCACAAACAATGGGTTTGACGCCTACTTTGCTATTGAGTTTATTTTTTCTGATGTTTATTTTTGGTTCTAAAATAGTCTAATCACGTTAAATTTTATATGATCTTGTGTTATTATGACATAATATGGGTGATCATTTTTGGTCTTAATGTTACCGATCGGTGGTAATGATTATGATTTATCATGAAATTAGATCAACGGATACTCCTTAAAATTATAATAGACACTGGGATCGTATCCTTGGATCAACAAGGAGATTTTTTTTATTATTAATACATATAAAGCTTAAGTATATGTGAGAAGTTTCGAGAATAAATGATATAATGGTAATAACTTATTCTTGTAACACATGGTGACTTTTTTTAAATGATACTGCGCTTTTATTAAGTATCAATTCACAGATGAAAAATTGATTAAGAAATATTAGCATACAAATACATCTCACACTCTTCTCAACACATACTAGATATGACATATAAATATATTGTGTTTAATGCGCCTTAGCTAGAGTTCCGGACGAGTCGAGTTAACTCACGAGTCAGATAAGCTAAGTCGAGTTTAAATCAAGTCGAGTTTATGTTTTTTTGACTCGATGATTTGCGAGTCAAGCCAAATTCAAGTCGAGTT